ACTCACCTCAGCCTCCCAAGGTGCGGGATTACAGGCTGAGCCACCGAGCCCGGCTGACAAAAATAACTCTTAGCCGGGCTCGGTGACTCAGCCTGTAATACCATGCCTTTGAGAGGCTGAGGTGAGTGGATTGCCTGAGCCCGCGGGTTTGAGACCTGCCTGGGCAGTGAGACCTCATCTCTACAATAAATCAAAAAAAAAAAAAAAAAAAATCAGCTGGGCGTGGTAGTGCACGCCTGTAATTCTGGCTACTAGGAAGGCTGAGATGGAATGATCACTGGAGCCCAGCGGGCGAGGCTGCGGGACCAGCCACTACACTCCAGTCTGGGCGACCAAGTGAGACTCCAACTCAAAAAAAAAACTCTTAACATTTCCAGAGTGCTCACTGTTTTGTTGGGCACCACTCAGTGCCTTTTGACATACACTTGGGCTCAGAAGTATTTCGAAATTCCATATTTCTTTGGATTTTGGAACATTTGTATATACATAAAGAAATACCTTGGAGATGGGACCCAAGTCACAACACAAAACCCATTTATGTTTCTTATACAACCTATACACATAGCGTGAAGGTAATTTGACAGAATGATTTTAGTAACTTTGTGCATGAACAAAGTTTGGACTCTTTTACTTGTGACTCCATCACATGAGGTCAGGCGTAGAATTTTCCTCTAGTCATGTTGGCACTCAAAAAGTGTTGCATTTTGGAGCATTCTCCATTCTGGATTTTCAGGTTAGGGATGGTCAGCCTGTACCTATAAAAGAGCATAGAAACAGCATAGCACCTATACCTCGCAGAATTGTGATAAGGAGGTGAAATGGATAAGTGCTCAGTAAACTCTAGTTTTTAATTTTTATAATTAGTAAGCTGCTTAACTTTGTTCGAACATAGAATCCTCCCCATCCTTCCTTAACCTTATGTAACACTTATTAACACTGTAAAACTAGCCCTTCTCAGAGGATGCTTTGGGAAACGTGGCCTAAAATGGAAGCTGCTGAAGTAGCAGGGACTGCGTCTTGCTTACTACCCAGCTCAGTGTCTCCTGTGTGTGCCAAGCCCAAGTGGAACCTCTCCGCTGGATCCAGGCCTTGAGCAGCTCTCCTGTCTCACAGGCATCGAGCCTCCTCGGGAATCTTTCAACCGCTGGATGCTGGAGCGCAAAGTGGTGGACAAAGGATCGGACCCCCTGTTGCCAAGCAACTGTGAACCCATCGTGTCACCTTCCATGTTCCGTGAAATCATGAATGACATTCCCATCAGGTACAGCCCCACAGTATGGGACAACCCTGGGTCGTTTGGTGTTTGTGCTCAGTCACAGATAGATGGGCTGTAACTCTGCCCTCTCTCTAACCCAGGTTATCCCGAATCAAGTTCCGGGAGGAAGCCAAGCGCCTGTTGTTTAAATATGCAGAGGCCGCCAGGCGACTCATCGAGTCCAGGTTTGGCTCTGTCTCCTGCCCCGAGCAGGATGGGTCTGTGATCATAGGATGAGGGCCACCTGGCCCGCTCATACTGGGTGGCAGAAGTGGGGCCAGTTCCCCAAGGCAGAACAAGGCAAGGCTGCAGTGTAAGCTTAGGGTGGATTCCCAAGGAGCCAGGGGAGGAGGGTGGGAGCAGCAAATGCCTCAACGGCCAGCTTGTGCCGAGCTGAGCAGCCCTTTGTCCCCATAGGAGTGCATCCCCTGACAGCAGGAAAGTGGTCAAGTGGAATGTGGAAGACACCTTCAGCTGGCTTCGGAAGGACCACTCAGCCTCCAAGGAGGATTACATGGTGAGTCTACCCCGGGGTGAGGAGGCCCGTTTAGGGCTCTGTGGCTACTTCTCCTGGAAGCCCACTCTGCCTGTCCAGGCTGAGCAAGGCCACTCCCAGCATCCTGTACTTGTGCAATACCGCAAACCTTTAATATTCATCAACCCCAGACTCTCGCCCATGGAGATCTTTCTCTAGACTCCTGGCTTTCTCCCAGAGAACATTTCCATTAACATTCTTAATGGAAGCCTGTGCCTGGCCACACACAACAAGTAGCTGCCTTTTTCAACTTAATGAACATTCAACCTCTCCCTTAAGATTTTTGGGGGCAGATGGACAACTGCTTTTTCTTGGATGTGTGTGTACACATCACAGTTAGGAACTACTACTAGATTCAATTCCCTACTCTTAATGTGCCCAAAACAATCGTTTTCTGGCCAAAACCTGTCACTTCTTAAACCTCTCCTCCGGCACTAGCAATGGGCTTTCTTTTCAGGATCATATTTCACAAGAGACAAGGTTTCGCACTTCACGATAGTAACTGTGTACTTGACACGTAGAGAGTGGCAAAGGTAGGTGTGCTCACTAGCCAGAGTGACTCGTTTTCACTCCGCAGTTTTACACGTGTGATTCAACAAAAGTACAGATGTCTACAGTCATCCTTATGAGTGGCTGAAAGCTCACATTTCAGATCTTCAACAGCCAAGCACCCAGCTTTGTAACTGTCTTTCCCCGATAGACTGCAAATGCTATAAGCTGAGACTGCTGGATCTGTTTCCAGTAATTATCATAGGATCTAGCACAGTGTAATCCTAAAAAAGAAGCTGCTGGCATTTATTGGACACTTACTGTATGCCAGGGGATTGGTAAGCCCCTAGGGGGAATGATCACATTTAATGTTCAAACTGCCCAGTTAGGTGTTTTGTTTCCCCTGACACGGGGAATAAGATTTCAGAGAGGCTAAGGGATTTATCCAGGTGATATAGCTAGTAAGCAGTGAGCTGGTTTCAAAACAAGGACTGCTGGAGTCCAACAGCCCTGCAGGTACCTGCCAACCCAGCTGAGGCCCTCTGGCCTCCACTGGTGCCCTGATGGGAAATGGCTCCTCCAGGATCGCCTGGAGCACCTGCGGAAGCAGTGTGGTCCCCATGTCTCAGCTGCGGCTAAGGACTCTGTGGAGGGCATCTGCAGTAAGATCTACCACATCTCCCTGGAGTACGTCAAACGGATCCGAGAGAAGCACCTTGCCATCCTCAAGGAAAACAACATCCCAGGTAGGGGCAGGGTGGTGGGGGAGCCAGCTGTGATGCCAGCAACTCTGTATCACAGGCCCTATAGAAGAAACAAGTGAGAGCCTAAAGGCCAAGCCTGGCCTGGGGCAGAACCTGCTGTGTCTTTGGCTAGGGGGGTTTCAGGACTTGTGGGAACCAGGGGGAAGTGACGAGAAAGGGAGAAGTTGGGGGAGAAAGATGGGCCGGGTAAGTAATCAGGTAGACCTGGGTTTACATGCCTCAGTCTCCCCATAGAGAATTCTAACACCTGGCCATAGAATTGTGCGAATATTCATAGGCAACTCAAATCAACTGCTTGGCACCACCCAGCAGATCCCCAAATAAGGTATTGTTACTATTGTGGAGAAGCCCCAGTTTTTATACTTCTGCCTGACAGGCCCCAAGGCATGACAGACAGGGGGCCTGCTTCAATACTGAGTGTGTTGAAACAGCCACTAGGTTCTACCCCTGCCAGTTGTCTATTTTTGTTTTATTTTTAATGGCTTTTTGTTCCCTTTTACCGAAACTGAGCCACAGTTTATTGATCTATGGAATGAGACTTCCCTGTGTGGTATAAGACACACAGCACACAGCAGGCATTAAGGCTGTGGGGTGAGGAGCAGACTCACTCAGCAGCCCCTCATTGTTCTTCTGGTCCACAGAGGAGGTGGAGGCCCCTGAGGTGGAGCCCCGCCTAGTGTACTGCTACCCAGTACGGCTGGCTGTGTCTGCACCCCCCATGCCCAGCGTGGAGATGCACATAGAGAACAACGTGGTCTGTGTGCGTTATAAAGGGGAGATGGTCAAGGTCAGCCGCAACTACTTCAGCAAGCTGGTGAGTGCTGGGGGAGGGCCCCCAGCTGGTGGCACATGGCAGGGCCTGGGTTCTTTCTTGACCCAGAGTCCCCAGCAGGAGGCCAGTGATGAGGGTTTGGGGGAACACTGCTGAGGCCACCACTTTCTATCCCACAGTGGCTCCTTTACCGCTACAGCTGCATTGATGACTCTGCCTTTGAGAGGTTCCTGCCCCGGGTCTGGTGTCTTCTCCGACGGTACCAGGTAC